CATGTGAAACTGCTGAGCATCCTAATATATATGTGCCACGTATAGTAAGTATAAAGTAAATCTGCTTGGTATATGTTAGCAGTCACATCTGTGTCACTGAAGAATATAAAAGAAAGTACAGCAGGCTAATATATCAGATTTTGGTAATCATAATCTGAGTGTTGACTTTTAATTCCTTTCGATAAATAGCCTACTAAATAAATAAAGTAGCCAAACTAAAACATCTTCTCAGTCATCATCACTGCATGTAAAATAGCTAACACTATGATTATCTCATTCAAAAGTATTAATTTTATTATTAGCGCAATACAGGACTGTCTTCGGTAAACCAACATTCAGTTTGCTAGATTTTACTATGAATAAATGAACAGAGGTTGCCTATAGAAGTTACATTATTATCTTTATTGGCTAGTGTCAGGTGAATCCACATAATTACTTGTAAGTCTTGGGTTATAACGTTACCTATCTAGCACAGTTTGTGAAACAGGAATATAGTGTTACATCCAATTTAGGAGGTTTATTGTGAACTTTATATAATGTTGCTAATTGCCGTGCTAAACCCGCGACAAACCTTGAGTCATGGATGTATTGTTTACATCCTGAGGCAACAAAACTCTCGTTATTGTGTTCTAATAGTTTACTGATTGTTCATTAATTTCATAGCTGCTACAAAAGCACCAATGCAAATGTGAAAGCTAACATTAGCTATTGTTAGCTTGGCAGCTAAGCTTAATTTTAACCTACCTTTTAGTTTAGATGTCATCTTCGTTTTTGTTATTTAGACGGTGAAGCTGCATGAATCAATTTGAAGGATAAAAGATAACACCCAAGAAGACAAGAGTGAACAGTACGATGCTGATTAAAACTGACCCAGCTCAGCTAAACGAAGCAAGCAACCATTACTGTCGACAATGCACCTCTTACTACGTTCAAGTCCACCACGGAAATTTCGCTTCTAACGCTTTTCACCACCCTGAACACACGCCTCATTACATGTCGTAAAATCAGAATAAAATCCATAAATATGACATATACAGCAACCACAGACTTTCAGGTATATAATATAGTCGTTATTGCACGCTGGCACACCTATTATTGATTAGCATTAGTTAATACGAAATTTGCCCATTATAAAAATATCATTTCCAATAAACAGTACAGTCACATTAATTCCCCTCTTTTACTCTGTATCGCGAGACACTGACGAGTATACAAAACATGAAAGATATCACATATTTGGCAAGATAGTGAACTTGTAGTTAACTGGTTTGCATAATTACATTATCTATACGTATAAATGCATATTAAAAATAAATGCACAAAAGCCAAGTCATTTTTGAATATAGAAACGTATTGTACAAAATCACGAGCTTTACATTTTTTACAACATTAGCTTTTATTAATCATTAGATTGTAATCTCTTATAAGAGTCAAGTTGGTCAATATGTAACAGAAATAAATGATTAATTAACTCTCGGTCTCACTTCCTGTTCGGAATAATGACAATGGGAGATTTCATAATAAGAGACTTCAGTTATAACTGGTATCGTGTGTTATGGAAATACTCCGTGAAAACAACCAGATTTATATTTCTGGATATCTTTGGTCATTCACAAGTTGTGTCAGTTACACTCAGTACATTGCGCAAATATTTATCCGTTTGGGCTGATTTAAACTAGCAACATGCTGCCTTGGTGCTTTTACGTTGAAGTAAACATTGTATACGTTCTGAAAAAAATTGTTTTCACTTCCGGGTATGAATCGATTCCTCTGATGCTTTCGTCTTTATGGTGACTACTCCCCCAAATCGTGAATAGAATTTGCACAAAGTTTCGTTTTTTCGTCACAGACATTGCTGTATTTTACTGCTGACCAGCGAAAATGCAGTTTATTGTGACTGTCAGTAGTACACGGAGAGCAGCGAGGATGCTGTGGCTGCTCATGCTAGTGAGTCTGTCTGTGTGCATCTGTGTCTGCCGAGCAGCATCACCTCAGGAGGACAGTGCCATGGAGAACATCGTCACAGAGAAAAAGGCTGAGGAGAGCCACAGGCAGGACAGCGCAGACCTGCTCATCTTCATTCTGCTCCTCACCCTCACCATCCTGACCATCTGGCTGTTCAAACACCGGCGGTTCAGGTTTTTGCACGAAACTGGGCTGGCGATGATTTATGGTGAGATCCTTCAACGTGACCGAGAGACGTCGGCAGTGCTATTACTTATCATGCTGTGCTGTTGATAAGATTTTAAATGATTGCATGTGAGCAGCAGGCTTCGTGCGTTAAGCCCTGGCACTAAATTCCTGAAGCGCATTGTAGTATATTTGGGAACCAGGCTGTTCCAGGTAGATACTGAGAGGCAACAAGCTTAGTTACGGTGGTGAACACCTCCTCTGCACCCTGCTTGGTCTAGAAAATCACATCTAAGCAGCCACGCATTCTGAGTCCCTGGAGAGAACTACTGTAGCATGAGCCTACCTATGAATGTGCTTGAAATAGACGCTGCACAATAGGTGATTGTTTCCTCCTTCACTCAGTCACCAACATCAACCTCTATTATACCTGTTGGTGGAAAGTTACTTCCCACCTCTACTACACTTCAGAGGAAAGTTGTGTTCCTATTACTCCTTTGTATTTATTTGAAGGTTTGTCATTTTGCATTCAGATGAATAGTACAAAATAATAAAAAATATTGTATTATTCAGCAGTAAACAAAGTAATTGACAATCTAATTTTTACCAGCAACATTAAAGTGATGTATGTCTCAATAATTACAATCCAGTAATGTAATGAATGTTATTTTGAAAGAGGACATTCTTCAGAATGAGCATTTTATTTTGGTACTTTGATTCAATTTTTAACTGGAATGATCTGGAGAGTTGTTACTGTTCTCTGTAGCCATAACTCAACCAAGTAAGTAGTTTTCTAAAAGGATTAGCAGCAGGCCGTTCTTCAGTTGAATCATGGTAAGTGTTGTTTTCTAAAATGACCAGTTTCACAAATTGTTAAAACCTCAACATGCCCATAGTCTGCACCACAAGGTGGCTTCCTTTCTGTAGCCTGATGGGATTTTTTCTCAGCAGTTTTATGTTATAGAAGGAAACAAACAGTTGTAGTTAATAACAAAAACAATAGCTGCATTCCATTTAGATGTGTCATGTACTGTGCATGTGCAGTCACAGACTTTTGCCACCTAATTACTTAAATGGAACAGAAATACCATTAACAGTATTGGCTTTTCCTGCTTGATATATCAAAATGTCTGATATGGAAAATGTAGACCACTTCTGAGGTGGCCTCGTTCCCTCGCCGGTTTTCAACTCAGGCCTTGTATCTTTTTATAACAGTACATAGTTTTTGATGGCATGAAATTCCCAGCATAGCTTCACTCAACTTCCTCCTCGCTACAGGTCTGATCTGCCAGGGGAATTGAAAACAACTGTGTGGTTGTGCAAAGTTTTGGAGTTGTTGAGAGTCATCATCTAAAATTCTAATTTGTTTGGTACATATCTGGAATTATTTCAAGTGGGTATTTTCCAGAAAAAGTTGAGTTTATGACATATAGTTTGGCTTTATGAGGCTAAGAACTGTAGTTTTATCTATTTTTAAAATTTATTTACAAAATGTTTCCACAAACTATTCCAACCGAAACATTTCATGATTCAGATTTTAGGCACATTCACCCCTCTAGTGACATCTTTACATCCACACTGGCCTCCTTGGTCCACCTATAAATGAGTCTCATTAATCAGCTGTCCCCTCTGTTTCCTTTCTGTCTTGCTTCTGTTTTGTCTCTTCTCCCAGGACTACTTGTTGGTGTGGTGTTACGGTACGGCATCCATGTTCCTCGGGACGTTAGCAACATCACGCTGAGCTGCCACGTTAATGCCAGCCCTGCCACTATACTGGTCAATGTCAGCGGCAAATTCTACGAGTACACTCTGAAAGGAGAGATCAGTGCCAACGAGGTGAATGACGTGCAAGATAACGAGATGCTGCGCAAGGTACAGACAATCGTGTTATTTTGATACCTGAACACAAGAAGTTGCTTTGATTACATTTTATGAATGTATTGTGAATTTCCTGTATGTTTTTTTTCTACTGTTCATGTTGCAACCTTAAAATATAGGGTCAGTCAATTACATTGTTAGACATTGGACATAAAATTATTCACTAGTGATTTTGATTTTCAGTTATTTTTAAGCAAAAATCCCAAACATTCATTGATTACAACTTTTCAAATGTGAGAAGTCACTTGAACATTTTTAGATTTTATACAGATAACTGGACAAAATAAGCTAGTCAAAGATACAAATGTATATTTATCATCTACATTTGTATCTTTGAGAAAGTCAGAGCACTTGATAGTGAAAGTAGTTGTGGCCTTAGTGAAATGTATCAGTTTTTTGTCCATTGTCCACATGAAATAGCTCTTTCATTTGTGGGACAACAGAATCAGGTTACACAATCTAAATATAAAGCCTGATTAAGAGCGTTTACACAAATGGCTCAAATGTTGATAAAGGTTTATTAGTTCTAGTACAAGTAAGTGGCAGGAGGCAGAACTCTGAGAGATTTCTGAAGACATTACAAAAAGCTTTCAATGAAGTCAGTGGACTGATGCCCTTTGCTCACTTGGTTTTTTTTTTGCAGCCCTGACTATTGTGCTATGTGCACTTCTGATGTCTGGGACTTTAAATTTGAAGAATTCACAATGTCATTTCAAGAAATCCTACCCAAACCACAAAAGAGTGTAGGCTTTTATGTGGTAACATTGTCAGTCTGTGGTTGAGTGAATAAAATGAAGCTCGTTTGCTACAAAACCTCAAACCACATATAAGTCATCGCTGTTCTAGATTTACAGCTAAAAATGTTTGCTCTTCCTGTCCCCTCTGTACTCTGTTCTCTTTCCCCAGCTTGTCATTTTACTATTGTAACAATGTTTCGTTGATTGTCTTTATGTGTCACTTGTTAAACCAGTTTTCATTTTGTAATATGCAAGTGTGTGTGTGTAACTCAGGTGACCTTTGACCCTGAAGTGTTCTTCAATATCCTTCTCCCGCCTATCATCTTCCATGCTGGCTACAGCTTGAAAAGGGTACAGTAATATCTCAGCCACTCCTTGTACTTCTGCATAAAAACACAAATGCTTATTAATTATAAAAGTAAATACTTTTAAACACTTGTTTGACTCCTGATGAAATAATGTCCTCTTTTCATTATGAAATGCTGAGTTCCTGCTCATCTTTAGAGGCCAAAGTTGTTGAAAGGTTTGATGAAGATAAATGAGTTGGATTAGTGTCAGTGTGCAGATGAGAGTTGATGTGTTAAATTTTGACTTCCAGAGACACTTCTTCCGTAACATGGGATCCATCCTGGCTTATGCCTTCCTAGGCACAGTTATTTCCTGTTTTGTTATTGGGTAAGTATTTTCATTTACATGTGCTGCTGATTTCACATGTGCAACAATAGCCACAATATGCGTAAAAGAGATTTGATGCCAAAGCAGAATTTATATATATATATATAGTATATATGAGTTACTGTGGTGTTAAAGTGTCCATAATGCCATAACAGTGTTGTTTATGGTGATGTGCCAAACCGCCTCCTGCAGGTTGCTGATGTACGGCTGTGTGACGCTAATGACGCAGGTGGGACAGCTGCGTGGGGACTTCTTCTTCACTGACTGTCTGTTCTTCGGAGCTATCGTCTCTGCCACAGACCCTGGTGCGTACGTTTTTTCCTGCTTACAGGTTATGCTAATTATAAACTGGCTTCACTTTTATCTCCTTGATTTGCTCAAAGCTTGTACGGAAACTAATCTACAGGTCTGTAAAAAGCACAGAAAACTAAAAGAATTAGGGAGATACTTGGAGAAACATTTTTGTTCAAAATTTCCTGTAACATAATGTAGAGGTGTGTACAGAATGTAGAGGATTTACAGTATTGACAATCTGGATCACAAAATATTTGGAAAAAGTACAGATTTCGAGCACAGCCCTCGACAGCTACAGTACTTTTCATCATGTTGGGTCAGTTCTAGTACCAGAAGAATTCGGTGTGTTTTTCCTTGTTTCACAGTGACGGTCCTGGCGATCTTCAACGAGCTGCAGGTGGATGCGGATCTGTACGCTTTGCTGTTTGGAGAGAGTGTGCTCAACGATGCCGTGGCCGTGGTTCTGTCCTCGTAAGTCTTTGTGCCATCAAATCACGCACAGGCCATGAGTCTGCATCTGTCCCAAACTGTCTTGAATCTGCACAGAGCTGCTAGATTACTGGTTTTCTGAGAGAAATGGCAGAAGTCATTGACCCTTAACTAACCTAATATCAGCTGTGGTAAACATGAGAGGGTCCCTGAGGTAACACTCAGTTTCTCTCCTGTGTTTTTTTTTTTTTTTTCTCCTGGGGCTGTTACAATTTTCACAGAATTGTAAATTATAATAGCAGGCAGAATGGAAAGGCCGAACCTGGTGGAGAGACTCTGACCAGCCCACTGAACGGGTGCACTAAGTAGAGCAAGGCGTTGTGTGTTTTTGCGGTGCCTTGGGACAAACTTAACAAGTCACCAGGCATTGGTTGTTAGGCCATTCAAGTGAAGATGTGGGACGTTTCATTATTTATTCTTTGTTGTGGTTGTTTTTGATGCAGTGAGTCAACTAAGAACACATCCCTATTATCTTTAAAGATATTGTATATACAAAGCCACAGCCGGGCAGGATGCCAGGAAGGCTTATAGACACAATGCCTGGTAATTTGTTTTGTGGTTGTTTCTATTTTGTGACTACTGGCTGTTTCTGTTTCAATATTTGACTGATACAGTGACTTTATGCATCATATCAAATGACTGACTACATTTTCTGAATGTAGACTTCAACAGCAGTTATTTGCCTTCATGTGTGACATGATTTATACTGTAAACTTTACATAATTCGTTGCCATTAAATGGTTGTGTTTTGTGTTATATCAGCTCTATAGTAGCGTACCAGCCAGAAGGAGACAACAGTCACACCTTTGAGGTCATGGCCATGCTGAAGTCTTTTGGGATTTTCCTTGGAGTTTTCAGCGGCTCCTTTGCACTGGGGGTGGCCACTGGCGTTGTCACTGCTCTCATATCTTTTCTATTTTATTTATATAAGAACAAATAGCTTCTAATCATTGTATTCATACACATCCTTGCAGCATACAACATACATCAATAGCAGAATTTAGTTTTATTATTATTTTAAAAAGTTTTTTTTGTTAGGTTTCAGAATGAATAAAAGAAATCCATAAATATTTAATATGAATTGATCAGCATGTGTGAATATCTTGTTCAGCTCCTTGACTGTTGTGTGTACGTGACCAAGTTCACCAAGCTGAGGGACTTCCAGTTACTGGAGACAGCTCTGTTTTTCCTTATGTCATGGAGCACGTTCCTGCTGGCAGAGGCCTGCGGCTTCACAGGTGACACACCAACTCTGCACAGTCAAACATCAAACTAAATCTGCCATTTAAAAATGTGGATACGGAGACTTTCAGCCGGAGGACGTGTGTTGGTGGTTATTGATCCTCTAACGTTCCTGTGTCTGCTGGTGTGTTGCAGGTGTGGTAGCAGTGCTCTTCTGTGGAATCACTCAGGCCCACTACACCTACAACAACCTGTCCCCTGAGTCCCAGGACAGGACCAAACAGGTCAGAGCTGGACTACAACCACACCACTGCTCAGTCTGCTCTTTCTTTAGATGGACTTCAAGTATTTAGTTGTTTGTGCCTTTATTGAGAAAGTTAAAATGGTTAGAAACAAGAAATGTTTTGAAAGTAGAAGTGTCACATAACTAAGTTAATTTCTAAGCTATAATATGGTATATTGTGTAATTTTGTGCTGTGTTTTCTTTAAGCTGTACATCTACTAAGGTTGCTACTGATGTTGTTTGTCTTGTGTTGCAGCTGTTTGAACTACTGGATTTCCTGGCAGAGAACTTCATTTTCTCCTACATGGGTCTGACCCTGTTCACCTTCCAGAACCACATCTTTAACCCGATGTTCATCATTGGAGCTTTTGTATCTTTTGTGTATCAAACTGCCCGGTGCACACAAAACCTAAAAACCCTTTTCTTGGTCACCACAATAACTATTTTCATTCACAGTTTAGTATAAAAGTAGGACTATGAAGCTGCCACCAATTTCAGCACTTTTCAGTCACCAACAAAACATTGCCACTCTATTAGAGCTAACCAAGATGGAAAGTGTAATTGATTTAAAGGGGTACCACATAAGATTGGCACGGGGTGAGGAGGGTTTGGTTGTGCTGTCCTCTCTTTAACCTCACTCCCACCCAGCTGGCAGTGTTCCTAGGAAGAGCTGCTAACATTTACCCTCTCTCATTTCTTCTGAATCTGGGACGTCGCAACAAGATCAGATCGAACTTCCAGCACATGATGATGTTTGCAGGTCAGTGGTATAGAGATGAAGAGGTCTATCGGTGTAAACCTTTATGAATCAAGAATACAGAAATGAAGGAAGTTTAGCTTTAGCACAAGATGCACTGGAACATATGTAGAACTGTATGCTGTAACATTCTCCTCACTTTTGTCTTTCAGGACTCCGAGGTGCAATGACCTTTGCCCTGTCCATCAGGGACACAGCCACATATGCCCGTCAGATGATGTTTTCCACCACCCTGCTCGTGGTCTTCTTCACTGTTTGGATTTGTGGAGGTGGCACCACCCAGATGCTGTCCTGCCAGCACATACGGTACACGTCTCCTCCTTGACTGTTTATTGCTGGTCTCTGGTTCTCCACACTGCCATAACGCAGGTTAAAACTCCAGTACTTCAGTTTAGCCGCTGGTCATGCTCTGGTTAATGCTTGAGGCTTTTTATATACAGTACAGAACAACTTTCTTTTCATGAAACCGTGCTGTTCAGGAACTTGTTAAACAGGGATAACATGCTTCACCACACAACACTGGGTCAACCTGATTCACATGTGGTTTTTTTGTTTTTGTCACAGAGTGGGAGTAGACCCCGATCAAGATAACTCTGTGAGTGTCGCTCTTAAGAAAGACTTGTTGAGATAATGTGACTGATCTGATTATCCTTATCCTTAACAATGAGAATACTTAAAAACATGAGCTGTTTTTTTTTCTTTTCCCCAGATGAGTATCTCTGACGGCTCAGAGAGGAGAAGCACCAAACAAGAAAGTGCCTGGCTTTTCAGAATTTGGTACAACTTTGACCACAAGTATCCTTTTGTGACAAATCAAAGTCATATACTATGTTCAGGGAAAAAAATAACATTTTTATTTTGTCTGTGCTCAAATGGTGCTTTTTTTTTTAAAGTTTGCTTTGATTTTGTCACAATTGTTAAGGCAAATAAACACATTGATGGTGAGTCTCTAAACAATGCTGCACCTCAACTGGAAAAAAACATTTAATAGATGATAATGTGGCGACTGCTGTAGTTCACTCTGTCAAACAGCAGAGGGGGCACCTGGCTTGAAGACAAATCACCTCATTTATTTGCTTTGTCTAATGAATGGAATGCTGCTAAATCTATCTTATGTAAATGACCTAGATACATCACTTTAGTTTTGATCCTTTTAAACATTTGCATTGAACAAGAATGACAAACCGTTTTAATCTGCTCTGCATTCCTGAATCACAGTACACAGGGGTGGCTCTGTTTGCTGTGTCTAGTAACTGTCTCTCAGTTCTGGCCTTCTGTGTAAACTGTCCTTGACTGGAGCTCCCTCCCCAGCTACCTGAAGCCCATCCTGACTCACAGCGGCCCCCCTCTCACAGCCACACTGCCTCCCTGCTGCGGCCCCCTCGCTCGCCTCCTCACTAGCCGTCAGGCTTACGAGGTCAGATGCTGGTTCATACAGGAGCTGGTTTACAGTCTTTTACTACAGAAAACAAAACATCAAAGTCACATCCTCTGCTTTATTTTGGTGTGTGTGAAGTTTATAGTGTATCTGACATCCTTCATCTTCCCCCAGAATGAGTGCCAGCTGAAGGATGACGCCTCTGACCTCATCCTGACAGATGGCGATATCAACCTGACCTACGGCGACATTACGGTCAGTACCGATGCCACAGGCGCTCACACCAGCCGCGGTTCAGTCTTTGCCGGCATCACCTCGGGTGACGAGTTAACGAGTGGAGATCACGAGCTAGTGATGAGGGGCACGCGCCTGGTGCTGCCCATGGATGACTCCGAGCCTCCCTTCACAGATCCCCACCCCCGCTTGCGGATGTGAAGATAATCTTTTTGCCGCAGACCCAGACAACCGTCCGTCTCGAACTGACCCGAGCCATTGAGAAAAAAAAGCAGTACCTGATTCTCCTTCTTTCACCCTTCCACTTCCTTCTCACACTTCGCCTCAGTCCTCCTGTTTTTTTCTCCACACATTTCCTCACAGCTGTATTTTCTAACTTCCTCCAGTTGCAAATCAGTGTCTCTACCTCATTCTTGTTCTGCTCTTTTCTACACCTTTCTGTCATCTGCCATAACTGTAATAAAGTTTTATTTATTTGCAGGGTTTTTGGTGTTCAGTTGAAGGTCAGTGTCTCTTAGTTTGGTTCAAATGTGTGTGTGTCTGTGTGTGTGTGTCAGTTAACTTACTGTAGCATTGAACTGAGGTATAGCAGCATGTGTTAGTGTGTAAATGCAAGTACCATCCACTAGATAATTCGTCATTGTACAGTATATCAAAAGAGAATTCTATAACTTTGATATGCATGCTGAGGATGCTTGTTCATTTCTTTGTAAGGCAGCCTGAGGGCATTTGTGTTTTGGGTCTGACCTTGAATGTTGCTGCATTCTCACTGTGCATCAGAGGCATGCTGACCCAGTGGACAACTTTTCTGTACATTTGGTTACAATCAAGTGCCTGGGAATTGTAGTTTTAAGCCCGGCTACCCAGTCTGCATCGGATCTGGGAAGCCGAGCTAGGGGTGGTGACGTGGTTGTAGTTTTTCTTTGTAAGAAACAAAACAAAACAAACAAAAAAGAAACAGATACCTTTGTCCCCAAGGTAGCAATATACTCAGTGGGTGTTTGGGTTGTCAGTTGATTCGTCTGTAAATAGTGTGTAACAATGCCACTGACACAGTGTAGCCTGACAGTGAAAGATGTGGATCTCTCCCAATGACCTTTGACTGTGACATAGAGAGGGATTTTACACCTTATTTTAGAAGCTGATGCCGCTCGCAGCAGAATGAAGGGCTGCTGCCCTGAGATCCAAATGAAGAAAGCTCGGTGCCATTTCTGTCCTACATTTTGACACTTTCTGATGACTGAATGCAGATGACCTTAAAGTGTTTTGTATTCCTTTTGCAAGAGAACAGTTTGGGTACTTTAAGCTGAATCACCTTTTTCATACCCATTTAACTTTTTTTGTTTTCTTTTTACAATCGTGCACTGATGTCAAGACTTTTCTCGTGAATTTAACCTCAAAAGTAGACATACGGTAAATAAATTAGACATAAAGGTACTTAGAAACATGTTATTGGTAAGCACACAAGTGATTTTGTGATTTTGGGAAGTCAGGTATTTTATTATTGATTGCTCTACGAACTATTTTTGATGAATCGATTAGTCCTGAAGTTGACATATGTAAATGTTTTATTTTGGCTGATTAACAGACAAACTTGTATTCACTTTATAATTGGGGAGGACAAAAAAAAACAGCAGATTTATTACATTTGAGAGGCTGAATGCAGTGACTTGATGGTTAATCAGTTATCAGAACTGTTGACTAGTCAAGTCATTGTAGATGTTATATATAAGGAGAGTCATGAAATCAGTGAATAAGGCAGGTGATTATATTTACATTGGTACTGTGTCGGTTCAGAGCAGCAGTTTTCATGCTGGATGTTTTTCTCAGCTGTAAACAACAGGGTTCTTAAGGGTCAATAGTTTAAAGCTTAACAGGATTTTTACTCTTATTAAGATGTATAAAGTCATAAAAACACACACTATTAAAAGGGTTAAAGTCTTATTTCAGTGTGTACACTGTGGAGGCTGTTTTAGTGGGTGTACAAGAAGACCACACGGTTTAGAGAACGCCTTCCGGTGCGGAGTAGAGCAGCTGTTAATGTCGCTTTAACAGGAAGTGTTGATAGGGTGTCACTATGGCAATGCTGTGTTGATGTGGACAGATGCCAGTAAACATTTGGTGACTTAGCTGAACACAGCGGTTTTGCAGTTTGCCCTTTTGGTAAACCAAAGGAAGGAAAGCTGAGAGTATGCAAAGTGGATGCAGAAGGATCATAACGGCGTTAAAGAAACGAGGGAGAGCATAGAGTAGAGAAAGCTGGGCTTGTGTTGGTGTGTGCGTTCATGTGTTGGGGATGATACAGAGGTGGAAGGAAGCGCGGGCATTTAGGTTTCGCTTTTCCTTCCACAGTTATCTTCTGCTGTGCAGGAACTTCTAATTCAAAGTATTCACTCTCTCTCTCTTTTTTTATTTTTTTTAATCAGGCACACCACTGACACCACATTACCCAGGAAACGACTCATTCCTTCCACCATTTTATATTTTTCTTTTTTGTGTCGCTGAGTTTTATTTTATAGAACAGGAACAATGAAGTAAAAAAAAAACTAATAATGGGTTGAATAATTTGCACTCATGCATTAAGAATAATTGTTTTTGTTATGATGTTTGTTTTATCTAACAGCTGCCTTTTATTATTTGTGTGGGAAGGTGGGGGACTGAGCAACGTCATGTCAGTTTAATGAACGGTGAAGTAATATTTAGTAGAAGTGACGTTGAATCACTGATGTTGCTTTGTACAAAAGATTCTTTCTGCATCGCAGTGGCAGTCCTCTTTCATACTGTTTGATCCACCTTATTGCTTTACCAGGTACTATGTGTGTATGTTTGAGTGCCGTTGCCACGACCTTGACAGAGTCTTTCACCCTGGCTCTTTGGGAAAAAAAACAACATATAACAACAGTGTGCCACTGTTCTTCAACTGACACATTAAAGAATGTGAAATCTGCAAAAGCTCCTATAGATTTTGGTGTTTGCCTACTGTTCTGCCAGTGTGTGTTTTGTCTCTGTTCTCTGAATGGTGACTTGTGACAGGCTTTGACCATTGGAAACCTTGTCTGAAGTAGCTGACCAAAGAGGCCTGCTGTGCTCTGTGTTTTCAGACGGTCCACTCTGTCTTTATATTGCAAATTCTGTGTATGTGTGTGTGTGTGTGTCTGTGTGCGTTAATGCCTGTATACGGATGTGTACACTTGTTTGTGTGAGTACGAGAGAGAAAGGGAGACGCTGTGTTCTCTTTTCCTCTGTGTTGCAGGTACTGACTGTTTCCATCTATATAAATATATTCTCACCTGTTCATGTGCGTGCAACAGTCAATAAACAGAAGCTTGTGCTTTTGATTAAAGCCCTCGCTGTAACGGCTGATGCATTTATCTTGTTTCCTTTTTTTTTTTTTTACCAGATGTCTCCGTTGTGTGTGTGAATGTAGCTGTCAGGCTCCAAAGCTCATCCTATTCACAAGATGTATTAAAAAGATTAGTGTCAGAGGTGATTTTATTTGAGTTACATAAATCTGGTGGGATTTTTTTCTTATGGTAAGAACAGGTTAGAATATGGCGGGACGTTAAAAATGTTCAAGTATTTCAGTGGGATAAACTCGACTTTAGACTGGGGCTGACTGGCACAGTCACCAACAGCAGGGTGAGCCCCAAAGATACAGACTGAAGTGGTTCCAAACACCAGTGGGCCCAACTAAGGGCTTACAAGAAATTCAAAAAACATACAATATTTCAACTTTAAAAATTGCCTAATTTCCACATTTTTTCTTGTGGAACACTGGAGAGCTTCACCTCTCCAGACGCCTAAATGTTATTCAAAAGAAACAACCGGAAAGGAGAACATCATCACTCTTGTTGAACTGCTCAACACTTGTAGACAGAAACCTGTTGCAAAGGGCCTTTGGTTTGGACTCTGGTTTTGCTGCGTGTCACTGACTAAATGAACCAAAATCCCAAACAATAATCGTTTCATTCTCCAAAATATGCTAATATGGCAAATTTCATTGATCTATGCGAGATAACGGGAAAAAGCTGCACCCGACACAGCTAAGACAGATGGTATTTATTCTCCCCAGCACAATCTGTGCCATGTATCAGGTAACACGTTCCTAATATGGACACAACTCCCTCCAGTCTGCTTACGAATGTCAGTGGAGTTATTGTACAGGGAGGAAGTTGTGGTTTTAGAGGGCCACTTAACTCAGGCTTCAGTGGAGCTCTGTCTCTCTCAGCCAATTGGTCTTTAAAATTCCCACTCATGCTCCACAATTGTTGATGTTGTCAATCATAACACATTCCTCAGTGTTTATTCCATAAAATTCTGAGATGTGCTGTTTTCAAAACACTATAAGTCATGCAATGGCATTGAAACATCTGATTTTGGTGTTAGCATTTGTTTTGAGAATAATGCGACCCCTCTGCTGCAGTAACAGGTTAAGGTAGGTATTTATGCCATGTATCTTACGTTGCTTTGAAAATTATCATGGTTTTCTTGCTTATTTAGTCAAATGCTCCTGCATAAAATGAAAACCTGTTGTTGCAAATGTGCACAATAAAACCTCTGCAGCCCAGTGTTCATGACAGAAATGCACAGACCAAACGTGTGGCTCTCCAAGTCAAGTAACAACAGTCTTGTTGATGCTTGTTAAATATACACTGGCCAGCCACTTTATTCGGCACAGCTGTATGCACTTCAGTGTAACACTTAACATTTGTGTTTGTGAAGCTCAAAATGATTCAGTTTTTGGTGAAATTGTCATAAATAAATAAATTCAATTATATGTTATATGTATTGAGACTGTAGTTAAAGGTGGTGTTGTACTGGAGGACATTATATTTAAAGGTGTCTCTATATCTTTCTCCTCCACAGCTACAGGCATGAGAGGGTCAGAATATTATAGCATGTTTTGTTGCAGTAGTTTTGACTTGATGTTTGAGTAATGCTGACATCTTTACGCACAACAGACTTGACCTTACAATGCTCCCTTCATCCTGACTCTACAAACAAATGCATCCTCAGTCTTAGATGTGCATCTCGGTGGATGGATAACCTTTGGACTTGGTCCAAACGATGATGCAAATAACAGTTTAGTCTCAGTGGCACCATTTATATAATATCTAGCATCTCAGTTATATAACAGGAACAACTTTGGGGAATTTCGCCTTGGATTTGTGATTTTAATGGATTAACTTTGAGGGTTAATGTTACAGGCTACAACTATTAACTCTGGTTAAGAATGAGTCATCTTGGTGTAATTCCTCAATTCATTACCAAAGAAGGAGACGGCTGAGGCCGGTTCAGATGCACCCTAGAACCAAGAGTCTTAACCAAAGTCAGCACATCTTTTGTAAACAACAGAAATAAAGAAGTGTTGTGATGATAATTCGCATCAGAAACTGAGATCCCTGCACTGCAGACCTGTCTCTTACACGAAAAATGAATTCTAAGTGCTCAGTGTTGCTGATGCAGAAAAGTTTTTTCGTGATCCAGAGGCCAAAGAAAACTTTACCAAGAGAACTTGTAAGATTCCTGGCTGAAGTCATTGTTTGTGAGAGCTTGCAGAGGTTTGGCTCACGTCCTGTTTTGCTTTTCTTTTTTCTTCCTCCCTCTGCTCCCCCAGTCTTTTAAAGCTGAGTTGCCTCCGCAGAGTTTACCTCTTGGCCAAAGCCACCGGAGACGCTGCTGGTGTCGACTGAGAGGCGCTTCATCTGGACAATTTGGAGAGGTGAGTTCAAAACCACAGCTGTTTTATTTCTGCACATTATCAAGCAGCAGCTCAGTTCACATCATGTGCTATTTAAACAAGTATCGCGACAGAAAAAGTTTTTCGCTGGAGCGCTGTGTGGGCTATTAAAGGACAGTTGTGCCAAATGCGTAATTGCGACTATGATCTTATGGGATGGACCGTTGCAGTTTGAGTTGTACGTTCTCTGTTACACAAAGTGTCTTTACTGGAAATACTTAAATATGTGCAAGCGATTATTTTGAGTCCATCTGACCATTTTTGGGGGCATGGTGGTGTTGCACCGCCCAACAGGTGATGCGCTTTGTTTGCTTCTGCAAAGGAAGGTATTTTTGGAGTCAACTGGCCCATATCTGTGTATTCAATTCCATATCGTTTTTTAAAGCAAGCACACGTCTTTGTCTGCTCAGTAAATGATTCTTATTTCCAGGGTTTCTCTTTTAAAATAAAACACAAGCACATTCACTCAAATACTGTTGTGAAGTCAGATTTTGGGCTACTTGGATTAAAATTGTACTCTAATAGGTGAAACCACCCGAAGTTATATAAAGTGGTTAAATTTAGCATTTCAACAAACTATATTAGTAAAGTAATGCTTACATGTCAATGCATCAATAAAAACAATAATATAGATGTATAGATTAAAAAAGGTTATAAGGTACATGACCATACAAGAAAGAAGCAGAAACAGTCTGTGTCCAATTAAATTATACCTACAGGAGGGACATTACATCATACTCCAGTGTATCTCTGGAATAAACAGACCTGCTAAAGACGCCTATCCCCTTTGACAACCCTTCCCTATGTATGAATGTAAACTACACGGTGTAATCCAACATTGTAAGCTGCAGGGCCACTGCAACAGATCAGTATCTATTTCTCCTGTACAACAAATGGTGTGTACTTTTAATACTGTACTACAGTGATGTTGTGTCTGTGAGCAGCAGAGCCCAAAGGTACCATCTGAATATGTTACATCTCCCTTCTGGTTTGGGCAGCAGCCAAACCAAATGCATGATGTCATTACAGAGACCAGGAGATCATGGTCTTTCCTTTGGAACGCTGGACCTCCCTGTGGTTCCAGTATGACTTCACCACCCTTCAAAACCTATAAAGACCTATGTAATTGAAGTAATATATTAGGCCTCTTTCAACTTTAAAAGACTGCTTTTTTTTAGTGCATGTTTTTGCTGCTTTTTATAAATAAGTTTTAAGCCTTAGAAGTCTTTCATTGAACAAAAAAAAAAAAAAAACTCTACAAATCCCACAGTATAATTAGAGATCATCTGTTCATAAAGCCTGGTATGAGTGTGCATAATTTCTGCCATGCTTCAATGAAGCTGTTGTATGTGTGCGGTCTTCTTTCCATTGGATCATCAGCAGGACGTCTGGAACCTTTGCTGCCTTCGGTTTATTCTATGCTTTTGTTGAAAACTGTGTCATCGTTCTTTTTGTAACTGCAAATGGAGCAGAGAGGCAGAGAAAGAAAGAGAGAAAGAGAGGGTGTGCCTGAGTGCAGCTGACTGAGTCGATGAAACAGCCTCTCAGCAGCTCAGCACAAGACTCCTAAATAGGCAATTCTCCTTGTTTGTCTGTGTGGGCTGAAGAAGCTGTGTCTTCAAGAAGCTTGTCCTGTGCTGCTGTCCTCTCCCATTCCTCTGTCTGGCCCGAGAAAAGCCTCAGCACATGATTACTTTGTAGTGTAAGAGCCACAATAAGTAGTAAGAGAAAATGAGAGGACTGGAGTCAATACCTTCTGTAGGGTTTCTAAAAGTGAAGAACTGTGTTTATGACTTTGTGCAAATCTTTTACATAAGTATCAATACCACAGAATTTACTCTGGGTGTTTTTAGAGCATTATTCTGTGCATTTCACTGTCGTCAATCGGGGTTGAATTAATTTGAACTACTTTGTATACTGTCAGGATAACATCTAGAATAAACCACCATCTTTCAGAGGTAGAGCATGTATTTTGTATATAAAGTAGTCAGTAAAATAAAGTACCTCAATCCTATACTTAGAGTGCCTGAGTAAATGTGCTTTCCACCACTTTATGGTTTAAACTTCATTTGACATAGAGCAAGAAATGCTAATGAGAACACAGGGTATGCAACCGGGGCTTAGGATTTTAAGTATTTTCTCTTGTGGGAAGATAAATGAAGTGAGATGGAAAAAATGGTGTTTCGGTTTATTTACCATTTTTATGTACAAGCTGAAAGTGATACTTAGTATCACATTGACTTCCTGCGTCTTAATGTGGTGCTTTATGTGCATCTGTGCTGAAACATTGAACCCATAGCATCAACGCAGGCAGACTGATTCCTCTCTGTAGCGTACAGCCCCACACATGAGCAGGGGGACTGATTTTTTTCAGTGTTTAGAGGACTATGACTGATGAGAGGTGAGGTGCTGCTAGCCTACAGTGGAGGCTTTATCTGAGAGTGTCAAATGTTAGCCACACTCTCATCCAAGCCACAGCCTTTGGGCAGAGCACAGCGCTCCCCTTGTGGCCTTTTGTCCACACATATTTGACCTCGGTGTCTCTGGGTCTTGTAGCCGCGCCCTGACTTTTTCCAGCCACCCGCTGACCTTGTGTTTGTGTTGTAATACAGCTCTGTGTGTGGACAAATGAGAGTGTGTGTCTTGTTTATGTGTTTTTCTGTGTGTGCATGGTGAGTCACTTTTCCCCTGACAGAGATAGCGTGGCTCAGTCTGACACCGCTCACTAACCAGATTTGGAGAGTGACTGAGACACATGGATATCCAGGGCAGAGGTCATGCTGAGAGAGCGCCTGGGCACATACACCAGGCTTTTGTTGCTGTAACAGTGGAAAGAGGGCGGCTGCTTGTTCAAGTTATACTTTTTTTACTGAGAAAGTACATGTCACGTTTCCTGTTCCTGTGTGCTGCCGTGTGAGGTGATGGACTCGTAACCAGGAAGCAACGCCTGCTAAACAATTCATGACATACATCATGTTTCTTCAGTTTCAAAAAGCACACACTACATATGAAAGGTGATATTAGTAACTATTTTCATTAGTGTCTTGAGCAAGTTTAAAACTTCTTGTCTTAAAATATATAAAATTAGTCCCATCACATATTTACCCTGGGTTCTCTCACTTGGAAAAAATTATTTATAGTAGTGTTTATTGTTCCTGATGATTAGTAGTTATTTCTGGCCTCTAAAGAGACAAACCTGAGATGGCCGACGGGGAGGTGGGCATTCCGGCTTTATTATCCATTGGGACAGCAGCCACTGGTGGAACTAACAGGATGACTAGATGAGACATGCCGAATACAGTATGAAGCCATTAGTATGGTCAGAAAATCAAGACAGGTGAAACATATTCTTCAGCTGAAAAAGTTGATTTAACACTTTTTATTTAGACATGTGTTAGTTACAGCAGGTAGTCAGGCAAATGTAACAAATATTCTTGTGTAAAAGAGGCGTTGGACCTATCCTGGTGTTGATGTGAAAGGCGGCTGTGGCTCAGGACGGAGAGCGGGTCGTCTCCTAACCCACAAGTTGGCGGTTTGACTCCTGGCTCCTCCAGTCCAATTATATAAAAGTTGGATCATGAATGATAAATTTCTCTGACCTTGATATTTGAGAAAACAAGTTGTTATAGTGCTAAACTGTCTAAATTTGATATTTGGTGATGTGTGTCATCTTATATTTCCAAAAAGTCATCACCTGTTTATTTGGCTAACACAGGGTACGTGAAGACAAAAATATATTTTTTATTATATACAAATTATGTGGCTGCTAACTTAGCATGCCATAGACTTTATATAGAGTCTAAGGCATAAGTAGGCAAAGGTTTCTGAAAGTAGGAAGTCTCCATCTGACCATAACACAGAAAGGTTAGCTATAGTTTGTTTTGCTTAGAATCCTTTTTTTGTCAGCCTGTACTATATAATGTGCACCCAGTGTTTTCAGCCTGCACACTGAATAGCATGCAGCTTTCAACAACCTCCATTCTCTGTTAAACGCCATCATCATCATCATCATCATTATTCCATCAGTCGCTTGTTAGTTTAGGAAGAATCTTGTCACCTGTTCAGTCTGTCTCACATTCAATTTAATGCAGCAAATGGTGGAGGCAGAGAAGTGCATCATGGTGAGGATCAGGAGAGAAGAGATGAGGGGAGAGATTTCAACATTTAAAACAAGAACAATTCAGATTTAAACAAGTGTTGAAAGAAACAGATGAGGAAGAAGAAATGTCCTGATGTAACACAGAGCAGATTGTGTGCCTGGGAGGTTTCTGTCGAGAGGGAGCCATGGCGCCACCCTGCACATTAATTTGTCTTTGTGGGTTTAGAGTAATTGGGTGACAGATTATAAAACAGGATAAACATCATGTTGTGCTTATGGTAATGGACCAAATCAAAACTGTAATTACAACCAGATGCCCTTTCAACAACTGAGCACACAGATACACACAGTCTAGCCCCCTGTATTGATTTGTTTAGTGCCTGATACGGTATATTAAGAATTAATTTCCTGTCTTCTCATGAAGCTCTAAGTCTCCTCTCATTTCCATGATGACCCAGTATTTCTGTATTTAAGCTCGTTTAACTTTAAAGGCCTAAACCAGATTAAAGTGAATGATGATGATGGTTTTGATCATTATGTTAGTTGGCAGTAATCAAATACTAAAATGTAAAACTGAATTTGAAATGCTATATTGAATATTATACAGTATAATCATTTATCAAATGACTGCATTTAATTTCATTAGTGTCACATGATCCTGGAGCTCCCTTCAGCTCTACAGAGGTTTGTTTTGATCATCTTTTGTTTTGGTTTAGGAGGACACAACTTTAGTGTTGTGCTTCATTCTCGTAGCAGTGTTTTCATATACAGCTGTTTTCAGCAGAAACACTCTGGGTGCTACCTGTCAAATATGAAAGAGCGGACAACATTAACTGTGAAAATAGTGGAGCCTGTGATAGCTGTGATTTTTTTTTTAGGAGGATTTTAAAGCTTACATTCAGTACGGTGCATTTCTGGTGTTGATCTCAGTAGACTATAGTCGTCACTGCACATTCAGTTTCGTGAGAGGATTCGTGATCCGCTTTCGCATTTCTGTTAGGATGTTTCTTGTGGCTTTAGAGAAAATATTCTGTCTAGTAATAAGAATCACTGACAAAACAAAGAGATGCACATAAAACAAAAATAATGTTGCTGACTTTACAGTTTGTCTTCGAGAATGTGGCATTTAGTTGTTCATTAGGGTAAATATGTATAGATACATGCACCGTCATGAAGATGTTGGGATGGAATGCGGCATTTAGTTGTTCATTACAGTAAATATGTATAGAAACATGCACCGTCATGAAGATGTTGGGATAGATACAGTGTGTATGACGGTCCACGACACTTTGTCTGTCCTCCGCTCAGTGAGTCGTATCAACTCGCTGCTTCTTTTAGTCATCCATTTGTGTTATGATCCGACATTTATGTTCTGAAGACTCTAACAAAACTTTTTATGTTATGGCAGTGGGAGTATCTGTTTTCCCTCATGGCCAACTTTCAGAACCCTCGGACTGTGTTTTCTTTTTTATTACCCTCTGATGTTACAGCAGTGGAATCTAGTCCTCATCACCTAATCTATCCCCTGTGCATCACTCTATTCTCATACCCTAAAAAGGACTGGAGGAGCAGAAGGTTGGGTTTGGACATGGGGTCAGGGGTGTGTGTGGGGCATGAAAGGGTATATACAGCCCCCCATAACTTAAAGAGAAGGTGCGGCCTTTGGGTTTGACCCTCTGTGGATGGTGCTGTCTCATCCTGTCTTTGTGTTTGTCTTTCTTGTCTTCTTCATTTCCCCCTGACTGGAACCAAACATGACTTTCTACAGACACTCAGGTAACATTTAAAAAAAAGTTGGTGGCAAAGCTAATTAAGATACTAATTGAGCTACTAGATGTATTATGTTTCATAATCAGGGTCAAAATGTAAAACCTGTTTACAGCTGGTGTGTCTATGCTCAGGAGGAATTGTCCTGGATATAGGACGTTTGTAGAAGGATGTTTCAAAATAAACCAAAACTTTTTATAAGTTAAGAACAATAGTTTTGTATAAAGCTTTGTGACAGTGGAATTTTCAGATAATCCGATTGGTTTCTAAATTGTCTCTCTTTTCTTTTTTTTTCTTTTTTTAGCTTTAGAAGTAATAGAAAGTGTGGATGCAGATTATTTTTCCATTAAGATAAGAACTAACTCATAATGCTGTTTTTTAGATGGAATGCTTTGTAATGAACACATGAATTTCTGGGTGCAAAAGATATCTTTCAAGCTCCAAGGTCCACTTAGATGTTTGGAGCTTTTGCTGATTTATTTATTTATTTTTTTGGATGTGTAACGTGTTTAAAATCTTCTTCTCCCCTGGCTGGGGAATTGTATTTTATGGTATTATAATGTGCTTTAGTGATACACTGATACAGATTTATGCTTTTTCATTTAGATAAAAACAAAACACATTGGTATTTTCCAGATGAAGTTAAATACATGAGGGAGTCCTTAATAACATAGGTCAAGAAGTTGGTTTGGAGCTTTCACCTATTTGTCATTTCTTGATGCATGTTGAAAGGCAAAATCACAGCCGGTTCCAGGGTTTGCATTGAACTTGCATTATAAATTTTGCAGCAATATTTTTTCTGTCACCATGATAACAAGATGTGACTATGTTAAAATGACCTGATTTTGTAGGAGGCCTACTTTTAGATAACTCTATCCACGACGGAAGAGAACAGAAAGTTTCAACAATGTAGCTGTTTATTTGGCTGATGTACTTTCTGGCTTTGATCTAATTTGTCCAGTCTCTGACTCATCCTTCAAACTGGTCCCACTCTGACCTTCTCACTTAAGAGGACCTCTCTCCTAAGGGATCACAGTGATATACTGCTCTCCTTTCACAGCTGAGGAACTCTACATACCATGCCTGTTTGACAGGGGGCAGCTGTCGCACTATTTGTTACAGAAGATTAAAGTTCTGGATAGGTCTCAGCTGGAACCACAATAGCTGCATAACCCCAGTAGTCACCGCTCTGCTGGCCCCCTCCATAAGGTCAATGTACTTTAAATAGAGAATTCAAGTCTAAAATAGACCTCTGCTCTGAACTCAATAATGAGACCCGAGTATTGTGCATGTTTGTTTGGCTGTTGGAGATGTGTAGGTGGAGAGGGGTGTGCCAGGGCTCGGTCCTCAGTCCACTCTTCATCCCTGCTGCACAGCTGCAGATACTTCTTCCTCCAAACCCTCTCCCATCAATCCATCCGCACTCACTAGGGACACATACCACTCTTTGGGAAGCGCATTTCTTTCACACTGCTGTTTACCACACCTCATTTAAATAGCTGCAGACCCCTTTTGATAAATATTATCCTTGTTCCTATGGTTACCGAGACTAAATGTCATTCCACCCATTGTTTTCTCCATTGCTCCTTTTGCCCCTGCTGGATTAAAATGATATCTGTCGCGCTGAATAACTTTTGCTAAAGTTCACACACGGTTCAGCCGCTCTCCCTGATATCCTGTAAAATAAAAAAGCTTTAAAATGATGTAGATAAAGCTTAATAAGTCCACACACTCCATCCTATACACAGTTGTTCCAGGAAACTACTCAGCCTGCTCCCAGTGGACGCAGCTTGAGATGGGGACACAGGAATGTTGATGAACGAAAAAACAGAGGCAAGTGAGTTTACAGTGTTTACAGCAACAGCCAATAAAATGACCTGGTCAGAATGCAGGCAAAAGAGGGAGTGTGCTGGACTCGACAGGGAGGTCTTTGGGGTTTTTAGGGGGAATGACTCAGACAGTCTAAAAATATGACATAAGCTTTCCGGGGAGAGCTTGATAAAATGTCTGGAAGCCTGAAAACATGCAGATAACAAGCAGACATCTGTGGGCGGCATTTTTTTTTTTTTTTTTTACTTCACTCATGCTGCCCTCAACTGTGAGGTATGCTGTTGTTTAGAGCTGCATCTCTGGGAAAACACAAAAACAAATTCACCGCCTCCTTTGTTGTGCATTGTTGTTGAGAAGTCAGATTTACAGTAACTACTTTCAGCATTGTTTTACCGGTCGCTAAACCCAATTACATCTGTGTGGAATTGTCGTTTTTATCGATCTTGTTCCTCGTTTCTTTCCACCCATGCTGTAAAGCACTATGAATCAGCTGTATGGCGCACTACTGTTTTTATATTTGCTGTTGTTGAATGGGACCTTGTGTGTGTTGTAAAAGGCAACACTGTCCCCATCTGGCATTAAATGGAAAACTCACCAGACAGGATAAACGTTTGCAGGTCGACTGTCTAACAGTTTCCTGTGTTTCCCCAGGTCCCAGGAGTTACCTTACCTCCACCATGACCGATCGCTTCGACTGCGCCTACTGCCGTGACAACCTGCACGGGAAGAAGTATGTGAAGAAGGACGACAAGCACGTGTGCACTAAGTGCTTTGATAAACTCTGTGCCAACACCTGCGCAGAGTGCAAACGTCCTATTGGTGCTGACTCCAAGGTGAACACACAGTGTGTCTGAGTGGGGGAGAATGAATGAATGAGTGAAAGAGGGAGCGACCAAATCATATGAAGTCACTCGTGATCAGTCTGGATAGATGAAACATTTTAAATATGATACACAGAACTTTTTAAACTTTATATACAGTATGTACATACATGAAATGTGTTGTGATTTCTGAAAACATTTCAGAGCAACAAGTAAAAAACAAAGATTTTATAGATGAACAAATCACCTGAAACTCTTGTGACTGACAACAAATGTTTGTAGTTTTGTTCTGTTTCACAATGCATATTTTGACTTGTTAGAAAAAGCACGTGCTACTATTAACCTCAAAAAAATGTGTTCTCTTAAAAGGCCTGTTAAACATTTCTGAATTTTAAAATCTCTGTTATGATTTGGTGGTAGAGAAAACAAGAGAGTGAGTAATGGAAAGAATCTGTATCTGTGTTTTCCTCTCTTATCTGTTCTGACAGGCCTCAGTCTTTAACTTTCTGTCTTCCAGCAGCGACAAGTGCTTCCAAAACACCCTCACCACTCAGTCACAGATAAATGTGTGACAAACATATGCCATTACTACTTATGGAACTTTATATCTTATGCCACATTTCCACCATCTAAGTCCCCTATCTCCTTCATTGCACACAACATCCCAGTTCAATTCATCTCTACTTGCACATGAGTGTTTCCTGTCCCTGAGACAGTCCAGATGATGAGTCAACACTTTAGTGAGGTCTGCATGAGGATTTAGTGGTGGCACCTCTGCTCACCTTTCTGTGTGTGTTCAGGAGCTGCACCATAAGAACCGCTACTGGCACGAGGACTGTTTCCGCTGTGCCAAGTGCTACAAGCCGCTGGCCTCTGAGCAGTTCATGGCCCGGGATGACGGCAAGATAATGTGTGGCAAGTGTAGCTCCCGTGAAGATGGCAACCGGTGCCAGGGCTGCTATAAGGTGATCATGCCAGGTGGGTTTGCCTTTACACTTTTGTTTTTTTAAAGGCCCTGAAAAGCTGAAAAAAGTGATGTCAAATACCATGTGCAAATCAACAATTATTAACATTCGAATCAAAATCTGGTGAGATCTGTGGGTTTGTTTTCTAAGTTGCCAAACACTGTAAATCAAACCTGATCAAACTACACCTGCACTGTCCTGATGAAGGGGATTAGCTTAGCTGTGTTAACTTTGATTGTCCCAAATATTTCAGAAAAGTAAGTAGGAATTCAAACCAATCTTTAAAGCCCTTAAAAAGGAAAAAAAGAAAGGCAGATTTGTAATGACATTCAGCTATTGTCCTGAGGAGTTTAGATGCATTTTTGAGTCCCTTTGTTTAATTTATAAGGCTGTTTTGCTGCATCTGACCTGTTTTGGCCTCTCTTTGATATTACTTTGCTTTAGAGCACTGTGTAGTTAAATGAAGTGCTACTTAAATAGAAGTCATGATTACCAGTTACCATAGAGATCCTAGGTTAACTGGTAATCATGAGGTCCTTTCTCATTTGTACCACTCAGTATACATTAAAACCTCCTCAACAAGCAGTGGCCTGCTGGTGGGTCACTCATACAGCCAACCTTTAAGTTCTAGTGGAGATCCAGATTGTCCAAAATTAACAAATACTGTATGTCAGGATTAAATCATCATGTCAGATCATCATCTTCAGTGATGAATGAATAAATGTAACTACTTATGACAAAACAACAAGACAAAACTACGCAGTATGTTAAGGGGTTATTAACTTCCAACCCAAATGGCTTTTTATTTTGTATTTCAGGATCCAAGAACGTGGAGTACAAGAACAAGATGTGGCACGAGGAATGCTTCAAATGTTTTGATTGCAACCAGCCGATCCACACACAGAGCTTCATGACCAAGGGTGATAACTTCTACTGTGCTGCCTGCCATGACAAGAAGTTTGCCAAAAAGTGCTTCCACTGCAAACAGGTACACGCACCGACTGTGTATGTTCCGTGAATGTACGCTAATGTTTGGTAGTCTGGAAGGAGTCATACTTCATACTTCAACTTTACTTAAGTAAACAACCGGAGTACTTCTTCCGCTATTGAAAATAAAACTATAAATTCACTTTACCCCATTTCAGCAGAAAGAATAAGCTTCCAGCCACTGTTTTGTTTGACAGCATGATCAAAGTGTCTCTCTGCTCCTCTCAGCCCATCACCTCTGGAGGGGTCAGCTACCAGGACCACCCCTGGCACTCTGAATGTTTCGTGTGCAACACCTGCCGTAAACCTCTGGCAGGAGCTCGCTTCACTTCCCATGAGAACAACATTTACTGTGTGGACTGCTTCAAGACTGATGTGGCTAAGAAGTGTCATGGCTGCAACAACCCCATCACAGGTCAGAGCAGCAGAAAACAGTGCTTTGTCTGTATGATTTATGTTGCAAACAAACTAGGGTTGCCTTGCATTTCTACAGAATGCAAGGTGGAATTAACAGACAGTGTTTTGTGTCTTTTGGGTATTTCCTGCACAAATATAATGGCTTCTGACAAATTATAATCCAGTGACAGATAACTCAGTAGACCATAATGCAATGCAGTCATATGACATTTTGGAGGATAAGATGAATATATTAGGAAAGTTTTAGGGGTAGAGTCTAGAATCACTGATTATCCAGACAATGGAGCTTAAAACTGCTCTTTTAAATATGCCAATAAAGCCAGTAGTTCAGTAGTTTGGATACTTGCTTCTATTATCTACAACTTGCACTGCTGACAGGTGTGCTGTTTCTGTCTCTGCAGGGTTTGGCCGTGGCACCAATGTGGTGAACTACGAGTCCTTCTCCTGGCATGAGTACTGCTTCACCTGCAAGAAGTGCAGCCTCTCGCTGGCCAACAAGCGCTTTGTCATGCAGGCAGAGAACGTCTACTGCCCCGACTGTGCTAAGAAGCTGTGAACTGCACAGTTAGCTTTGCAGAAGATCGCTGTTTAAAGTGGATTTGCACCAAAACTGACTTTTAGACTTGTTCTGCATATAAGCACATTTTCTCATAAAATTCCACTTTGGGGAGTTTAAAACTTTGTTTTATGCTTCATTAAGCATAAAAATGCGCAAACAGTCAATTTTGGTGTAACTTCTCTTTATGAAGTTGACAGACTAGAGGTTATTTCAACTAAACATGCGTTAGCTTGAATCATCTATCAACATATACGTTATTACTGCAGCTTGTTTTAGTGCCATTGGCCACTAATGTGGCAACAAAGTATATTTTGTGGGATTGAAATATGCACCATTAATCTTATCTAATCCAGCATTTTGTGCAGCTTTGAGACTGAAAAAAATCTTTAATCTCTTACTGGAATTTAAAATGCTTTACATGCATACTGCTACTCATATGTACCAGCTTTCATTAATAGTCTGTTACATCTCCGAATGAACCGATAAGAATTTCAAAAAATGTTGAGTGAATTTAAATGGAAAAATTAGACTTTAGAGATCTGAGACAAGACCTGCTCATGTATTCAAGACAAAACAACAATAAAAGCAACAACATAAAGCCTGTTTTTCCTTGTAACATCACAAATTAAAACATGGCATGGGAATATTTTTGCAAGACTTTATTGTTTTAACAGTTTGTATCATCTCAGTACACTTTAGATATCTTCCTAGAACAGATTTTACTTGTGGACAGGGCATTGTGTTAGGTTTGTAAATCTAACAGAGGAATATTAATATTCACCAAGTTGCCCTGGTTGGACAGATTGATTGTCAAGGCCGAGGTAAGGACAAGCTTTCTTACTTATGTGTAACACACTAAAATAATAGGTCTCAGTCTAAGGCACCGTTCTATTCTACAGTTAGACAAGGTTGAAGATTAAGAACAGTCACCTCTGCACACAAGCCCTTAAAGATGCAGCAGGACCTGGAAAAG